ATAGCCTCCTCTAGCTTGATCGCCAACTTGGGAATGATGTGAGAGACTGATGATGTTGCAATAGCAATATGTAAAGTCATGTCAATCATTCAGCCATATCCTCACATGAGGTATCAATATGAAAGGCTGAGTCCTAAGGTGAAAGACAACTTGTGGATGATGCCAAAAACTAATGCTGCAGCACTGGCATATGATGGCAATCCTTCAACCTCATCCCCATAACATAGATGGAGACACCATAATCTACATGTCAACTACAAACTTTTTTAAATGAAAAAGTAGACACTACAAACTCTTCTAATAAAAAAGCACACACTACAAGATTTTGTAGTCCCAAAAAACAGACACTGCCAACTTTTCTAATGAATAAGCACATACTACAAACCATTGTAATGATAAACAAAGCAGACACTACAAACTTTTCTAATGAAAAAGCGCATACTACAAACCTTTGTAATGACAAAAAGCGGTCACTACAAACTTTTCTAATGACAAAAAGCAGACACTACAAACTTTGTAGTCAAGATAACCTTTTGACCTTAACTCTAACTTTGTAGTGTAAATCTAAGCTTTTGTAGTCTAAGTCCGACTTTTGTAGTCTTTTATAGTCTATCAGTAAACTTTGTAGTCTAAGTCTGACTTTTTTGTAGTCTATCAGTAAATTTGGTAGTCTTTTGTAGTGTATTAGTAAACTTTGTAGTCTTTTGTAGTCTATCAGCAAACTTTATAGTCTAAGTCTGACTTTTGTAGTCTTTTATAGGGTATCAGTAAACTGTGTAGTCTAAGTCCGACTTTTTTGTAGTCTATCATATCTGACTCTTATAGTAGAGCATGCACCTTCCTTTTTTGGTCATTTTTCCCATGATACAATAATTGTAGCCCTTTCTTTTAGCTTTCTGAATATACTGAAATTATGTTATTTGGTTTTGTTTTCATGGAGAAAAACACAAAAAACAAAAAAAAACGCGACACTTTTGACATTCATGTACCTCATATCTCCACAACAGGAGCACTTCAGAACATAATTCAA